TGCTTATAACGGTTCAGAAACTGGCACGTACTTATGACTGTTTGGAAACTGGCACGTACTTATGACGGTTTAGAAACTGGTCTGTGCTTATGATGGTTCAGAAACTGGCATGTGACGGTTCGGAAACTGGCACGTACTTTTGATGGTTTAGAAACTGGCCTGTGCTTATGACGGTTCGGAAACTGGCCTGTGCTTATGACAGCTGTGGTGTCCTGTCATCCCCTTTGGCGGCCTTCTGTCAACGGGGGAAGCCCCTTAACAATTGCGCTGCTGACTTGGCAACTGCAAGGGACTCACTTAAGAGCCGTGGCAAAGTCGTAAAACAGGGCAAAGCTCGCCTTGCTCACCGGTGGAAACGTCCATTGTGGCCGTAAGACAAGGACTGCCTCCATTCCACATCCGCAGCCTGGCTCCCTTCGGCTCTCCTAGCCCAAAGCCGACGAAGGAAGCCCCGTGGGGCAGAGGGGAGGACCCTCCTTGATACGACCCCCCAACTAAGGGGAGGAACCGAGCTAACTGGCCCCACAGGTTTTCTGCAGGGGGGGCTGGAGGAGCTGGGCTTGGGTGGGGGAGGGGGATCTGCTCTGCCAGAGGGCCCTGCCCCAATTCTAAGACCCAGAGAAGGGGGCAGCCTGCCAGGAGGGCAACCCCCTAACCCTCCTGCCTGTCCCCCCCCCCCAAAATAAAAATACGAGGTGTGTCAGCCGTTACCTCTTGCTGTTCAGCCTGGGCGGCTAAGTGCTGGGAAGCGCTGCCGGGGGCCTTCAGCAAAGACTCCTCGGAAAACCCGTTGCAGATCAGCTCCCCGTTTCGGATGGCCGCCGGCGCCATTAATGCTGGTGGGATCCGGTACTGGGACTTGATGGCCTCCGGGACCTGCGGGCGGCGGAGAAGAGACGGCGGTTAGAGCCATCGGAGGCTGGCAGAACCCTGGCACTGCAAGGGAGCCCACAAGGATGGCTGGGGACGCCCAGGAAGGCGTCGCATCAGCCCTGCTTCACCGGAGGGCAGCCTGGCATAAAACATGGGGGGGAGCGGAGCGGGGGTGGGGGGAATGATGGAAAACAGAAACCGGACCAAGAGCCCTCCAGAGACATTGGCTGGGCCCATCGAAGAGGTGCCAAACTTCAGAACAGTTACCAAAATGTAAGTGGGTCCCTAGTGCTCTCTGAGCTGGGTGGTTTTCTTGCAGACATTTCACGACCCAACTAGGGAACATCATCAGTGTTAGAAGAGAAGGGGAGTTGCAGAGAAGAGGAGGAGGAGGAGGAGGAGGAGGAGGAGGAGGAGGAGGAGGAGGAGGAGGAGGAGGAGGAGGAGGAGGAGGAGGAGGAGGAGGAGGAGGAGGAGGAGGAAAAGTCCAACGAGGAGGAGGAGGAGGAAAAGTCCAACGAGGAGGAGGAGGAAAAGTTCAACCCCCTGCTCAGGCATGAAGCCCTATACCATTTCAGACAAAGGGTTGTCCAGTCTCTTCTTAACCTGGGCTTATGCTCGAATCTTCAGATCTGGCTTTCCTACGCTGTAACCACTTGGCTTTAGTAAAAGTACACATTTCTCTGCAAATGGAGTCGCGGGTTTTTCTTTTCTAAATGCCCAGTTTGGGATAGAAATAGAGAATAGAGAATAGAGAGTAGAGTAGAGTAGAGTAGAGTAGAGTAGAGTAGAGTAGAGTAGAGTAGGATTAGGATAGGATAGAATAAGGAATAGAATAAGGAATACAATAGAATAGAGCAGAACAGATGGAATGGAATGGAATAGAATAAGGAATAGAATAGAATAGAAAGAGACCTTGGAGGTCTTCTAGTCCAGCCCCCTGCTCAAGCAGGAGAACCTCTACCATCTCAGACAAGTGACTATCCAGCCTCTTCTTAAAAACCTCCAGCGATGGAGCACCCAGGATTTCTGGAGGCAACTTCTGTCCCACTGGTTAATTATCCTCACTGTTGGGAACTTTCTCCTTAATTAAATTTCTCCTTAATTCCAGGTTGCTTCTCTCTTTGGCCAGTTTCCAACCATTGTTTCTCGTCCTTCCCTCTGGTGCGCTGGTGAACAACCTGACCCCCTCTTCTTTGTAGCAGCCCCTCAGATACTGGAAGACTGCTATCCTGTCTCCCCTATCTCTTCTTTTCTCTAGACTAGCCAGACCCAAGTCCCGCAGCCGTTCTTCGTATGTTTTAGCCTCCAGGCCTTGGATCATCTCAGCTGCTCTTCTTGGAACTTTTCCCAAACTCTCAACCTCTTTTTTGCGATACAGTGACCAAAGCTGGCTGCGGCCTTCCAGGTGTGGCCTCACTAGGGCTTTATAAAGCGGTACTCATGCTTTGCGTGATCTGGATTCTATGCCTCGGTTTATGCAGCCCAGGATTGTATTGTTTTTTTTGGCCGCTGCTTGTGTGACCCGGGCTCTCCTACCTTCAGGCCCTTCCTCTTCCCCGACTGGACCACCCGGCGGTTGGGAGGGTGCTTCTTGTGGATCCGGTTCAAGAAGTCCACCTTGACCGCGTGCTGAGAGATGGTGTCCTGGAAGCGGTCGAACACCTGGCACCGGTTGCTCAGCGTCATGTTCTTCTGGTTCAGCTGGAAGAGACGGAGCGGCCTAAGAGAAACCAGCCGGACATTTGCCCCGCCCCCCCGAGCCCCCCAGCCCCGACCCCGAGGCGAGACCCTGGCTTACCACCACGTGCTCAATGTGGTTGGGGCACATCCACCTGCCCAGCGGCATGGCCGTGAGGGGGGGCTCCAGGCAGTCCATGTGGAACAGGAGAGGGCAGTAGTCGCACTGGATGAGGGGGGCCACCCGGCAACTCCTGGAAAAGAAGACCACAATCCTTACTGGAAGTTTTTAAGAAGAGACTGGACAGCCATTTGTCCGAAATTGTATAAGGTTTCCTGCCTGAGCAGGGGGTTGGACTAGATGACCTCCAAGGTCCCTTCTGACTTTATTTATTATTAACAACCTGCCTCCAGAAGCGGTGAATGCTCCAACACTGGAAGTTTTTAAGAAGAGACTGGACAGCCATTTGTCCGAAACGGGTTTCCTGCCTGAGCAGGGGGTTGGACTAGATGACCTCCAAGGTCCCTTCCACCCTTATTATTATTATTAACAACCTGCCTCCAGAAGCGGTGAATGCGCCAACACTGGAAGTTTTTAAGAAGAGACCGGACAGCCATTTGTCCGAAATGGTATAGGGTTTCCTGCCTGAGCAGGGGGTTGGACTAGATGACCTCCCAGGTCCCTTCCAACTTTATTATTATTATTATTATTATTATTATTATTATTATTATTATTATTATTATTATTATTACTCCGTGGAGGACAGACCGAAGAGGGAGATGTCTTCACAATTGGGCTTGGCCCCTTGCCTGGGGTCGTCCCACCCCGTCGCCTCCTGCCACGGGCCAACTGGGGAGTGGGCCTCCACCCCGCGGCAAACTCCCAAAGGAGGACCCCCTTGTAAGGTGGGAAAGAACTTCGCTTGTGGCCTGCAGGCCCAACTGTGGGGAAACAGAAAAAGAGGAATTCCTTCGGAGGGTTCAGAATGAGAGTGTTGGAAGGGACCCTGGAGGTCTTCTAGTCTAACCCCCACCCTCCCGCTCAAGAAGGAGACCACAGACCACGTCAGACAAGTGGCTGTCCGGTCTCTTCTTAAAAACCTCCAGTGATGGAGCGCCCCCGCTTTCCCAATAAAGGAGAATATTGGGAGCTCAAGGTTGAAATGAGGGGTCCTGGGTGCCCTCTGAGCTGGGTGGTTTCCTTGCAGACGTTTTGTGACCCAACTGGGGAACAGCATCAGTGCTAGAAGGGAGGGGGGATTGTGGAGAGGAGGA